GCCACTTCTGCTTGATAGTGATGGCTGAATGACGACTGCTCATAATTCTACTTGTTTCACATTCAGTGTTTCAAATGTTTAAATAGGGTGCTTGCAATTTTTGCGATCCGTCGCGAAAGTCGCTCAAATCGCGAAAATTGCGCAAACCGCGATAATCAGCTAAACCTGCGATGGATCGCGGACTCTGACACCAGCTAAAACTCGATGACACGTGACATTGCGCGCCCCGGCGCAACGTCGAGAGGGTTACGGTATGCAGCTAATAACCAGTCTTACGGACCAGTCCCCCTGTGCTCTGGGGTAGCAATCCAAAAATGGAGGAGCGTCGCAGCGTTACCCTCGCGCTGCGACGCTGTGCGCGCAGTCCGAGGGAGGTCCCCCGGTGCCGCTCCACCTTATGCAAGGCCAATCTGACATACAGGGGTGGCCAAAAAAAGAGACACTTCACTCAACATTCAAAACGGAATTATTTACGCGTCGCGAAACCAACAAATGACCCCAACTGAATATTGAAGAGCACGTTATAGTCTACCAACAAGCTACACAACAGCCTTCTACACCGATGACATCAGAAGATTCTCCCAAGGAAGCATTGTGCGCGGTACGATCTCAACGAGGTCGTTGAGATACCATAGACGATTACGACGTCTACGCAGGTCAGAAGCGGTTTGGCACATTCACAGCTAATGGCTCTGGGAAAACAATTAATTCACTTAGGAAATTGTGTAGCAGCTTCAGGTCGCAGCGATGTCGGTAAGCCTCGTTGGGCTCGACGGTGACGGCAGATGACGTCGTATTCTGGAGACGGCAGGGGCAGTGAAGGAGTCCTTGCTCCTGTTTACGGAGGAACAACTAAGGAGTATAACGCCATAAAATTTTCATTAACATCGGCTCCCTGTGTGACGAAAAGTTCGATGATGTGCGCCATGGGCTGAGTGTCTCTTTTTCTGGCCACCCCTGTATGTGCCATCTTCCACCTCATACATAAACGGCGCGCAGTATAGTTGGCGAGTATGCTCGAAGCATTCTCCCTCAGTTGGGAGAGCGCAAAGAAAATGAGAAGTAGGAAAAAGGTACACGCTTCAGCGCGTAAATGCGTCACGCATTGTACGTGGTACTACAGGACCCAACATTGTAATTACGCTTACTTCCGGTGCTCGCTCTGTCCAAACGGCTTAAGTCCTCTCTGAGCCTCACAAAGTACTCAGTCGAGTTCTAAAGAGGATCCTCAGAACACTGGATGGAGAATTGAGCAGATCCACCACATGCACGCACTTGTGAGACTCATCGAAGTATCAGGAGAGCTCGAGATGCTTTATGTCTCACATTAATTCACTTGACAGAGGCCTTCAAAATTTGGAACTTGAAGCGGTGCTCAAGCCCTGGAGAACCAGTGCATTCTTACTCGTTATACAAGAATTCTTTGTAAGCTCTACAGCAACCTTACAACCATTATTCTACAGATTCTCTAGAGCGCAATGAAGTCCTCATGGTCCAGCAAGTAGCTCGCACATCGACGTGATGTGCGAGAGTTTCCGTAGAGGCGAATGTAGCTACATGCCTTCGACTGTTTTCTGTATTTATTGTTTGGGACACAGAGATAGCCAAGCCAGTCGAAAAATTCACTGCTCCAAAAGACCTAATGCAATTGCCAGAAAAATCGGCCGATATTGCTTCAGAGAGAATCGTAGAGTAGCTCTAGCCGTGAAGAAAAACACTTCAAGTGAACTGGTTATTGCTGGTTGTTAATGCATAATAGAGGTACAATCTCTGTCGTTACCTATCAAAGGTCGCTTCTAGGACACCATATTCATGAATGGAGGCTATCGGGAACTCCTGCAGGCTAGGACAACCGAATCTGCTCGATTAGTGTGCTCTAAAGGCATCTTTGAGTATGTAGCAAACTTTTTGTCTAAATGTCGCCCTTCCTATTGGAATGTTTATCGCGGAAAGCAAGTAAACAGACTCTGGTAGCGGTAGAAGAGCAAAGGGTGGACGCAGCTCAACAGCACAAGAGACCGCTGAAACCTGACCCACTCTCACGCTCAGGTGCTCCGGTGGATCACCAAGAATAAATAAAGAGACCAAGTGACAGCGCAACTTTCAGCTGATAGTGCTTGCAGCTTCGCAGACTTGTTTTGTGTCGCGCAAAAAACCAATGTGGCTCCCTCCGAATGAAAGTTCCAACGCTGAGTACGACCACAAGGAGAGTTTCATCAAAACTTGCCAGTTTCGGAAACTGTCGATTCTGGATGGGAGATTTCTTGCGACCATAACGAACACTTGTCAATAAATGAGAGCATAGTCGTGAAGTAAGGTTGACACCGAAGAAAGAAAAAAATCTAAAGGAAGTGGTCACGGAAATTCCTATGGAGACGATGGGAAATGATATAGTGGATTTGGTAGGGGTTCTACCCAATAGGACGACAGGTGACGCTTCAGGGGCATTGGCGCCTTATCAACGGCATGATAGAGCGCCGAAACCCACTTGCGGTTCGGCGTTGCACCTCCTTATCAGACGTGGAAGGGGACGCAACAGCAGCGTGCTATATATCAATACGTTTATCGTTATCGTTCGATTTCCATGCTGGAGTGCACCTCATTCTAAGCAGCCGTACCTTGTTGTCTAATCATATCGTATCTACCATAGGGTTATACTCGTCCAACCACTATCTGTCTCCGACCTTATCAGTTGATAACGCGGAGTTAAACGATCCACGTGTAAGCCATCGTGATCGCTCCCTTTTTGTGTGTTCAGTCGCCATTTTCCGTTTTATTCAAATTCAAGGAGGTCATCATCGCATGTAAACGTAAATAAGGGGGTTCGACAGCGCTACACCATCTCACCCGAACTTTTCAGCACCGTCTCCGGGAAGTTATGTCTCAATTGAAACGCGAACACATTGGAATGTAGCGCCATACCATCTCCTCTTCCCTGACGACATAGTGCCTATAATGACAAATCCAAGTAAACAGAGCCAATGCTGGCTAATTCCGACAGCTTATGTGGAACGCTCGGTTTGCAGCTGAATTCAAAAATGTCGACGTTTGAGCAGAACAGACTGGTTC